ATCACGTAATTGGGGCTGTTAATCGAGATTGACTTTTTAAATTTTGTTTAACTTATATTGTTTTTATTTTAAACATGTTAGCCTTTAACTATGTATTTACTTAGACGAAATACATAGTTAAAGCTAACATAAAATAAAAACAATTTAAGTTAAACAAAATTTAAAAAGTCAATTCTAAAACTAAAAATAAATATAAAATAAGGATATATGTATTATAAAAAAACAATTTAAACGAAATACATAGTTAAAGGCTAACATGTTTAAAATAAAAACAATTTAAGTTAAACAAAATTTAAAAAGTCAATCTCGATTAACAGGGGCGAAATAGAAGCCAATATATTAATTTTCCATTAAAAATGGCTTCAATTTGATTCGCGCAAATTGCGCGATTTAATTTTTTGATATTTAGGACATAGCCTTAAAAGTATAGATGATTAATTTTTTGATTTGTTGATTAGAATATAATTAATAACTTATAATAAAAAGATATACAGTGTTGTGATGATTTAATGAAACATATTGACGATTAAATTCAAACCCATTCATATAAAATTATAATATTTGCAATTAAAATAAGAATAGGAATAATAAAAGAAATTTCAATAATGCTTTGTCTATATTTAACAATAGGAATAATAAAAGAAATTTCAATAATGCTTTGTCTATATTTTAATTATTTTTGCAAATATTATAATTTTATATGAATGGGTTTGAATTTAATCGTCAATATGTTTCATTAAATCATCACAACACTTTAATTGCTAAACACTTCCAATTTTGATTAATTTAAATTTACTGCTCAAAAAATCTTAGCCTTGATATTGTTTATAAAATAATATTGTTTAATTTATACTACAAAATAATCCCTTAATAAAATTATTATAAAACAAGTAAACAAAGTATTTCTATTATATAGCATATTAATAAATTAGCCTTTAATATTAAAATATTATTACTTGCACACAAAATAATTCCCAATATTTCACTTTCAAATCAAAATAATCAAAGTATTTCAATTATTAGAGCACATTAATAAATTATCATTTAAATTAATATATTATAAATTGCACTACAAAATAATTCACTTTCAAAATATTCAACGTATTTCTATACCATAGCCTATTAATGAATTTACACAATAAAATATTATTACCTACGCTAGAAAATAATTTACGATATCAATCTCTAAATAAAATGGAAGTCCAGGAAGAAAGTGAAAGAAAAACGCGAAGATAAAATAAATGATTTCAAGAAAAAAAGTTAATAAAATAGAAATTTTTTTTATATTTATTAAAAAAATTTTTTTATGACACCTAGAATCCTTGAACCCTTCACTTTTAAAAAGGGTCCGGGTTCGGGTACACCCAAGATACTAGGGTTCTGGAAGGTTTCGGGTCTGGGTTCACATCCCAGGTTATCACTCCATCTTATTTTGTTGTAATATTTTTTTTTCAAAATGTCAAAAATCTATTTGAATACTTTATATGCTATAGCTGCTAAATTATATAAAGGTTGCCACCAGATTTATCGAGTTTCTTATTTTAAAATTTATTTAATCGCTCAGAATTAAAACTTAAATACTAAAAATGAGCCTCAGCCATTGAGAATAAATACTCGGCTGTGTCCTAGGTAGACTAAATACTGAATAGCCAAAAAAAACAAAAGTGTAAAAAAACGAGAATAAAATACGAAAAATAACAATTAAGTTTCCAAATTAAGCCACCCAGGACACAGTCTCAACTCTCAGAAAATTATTCAATGCTCGAAATTATTTTTCAATGCTCAGATATAAAATTGAATTGCTAAAAAATCGGATTCAGTTTAAATGATAAATCACTCAAAAAATATATGAAACAATAAATATTTTTTTCTTAGTACTATTGATTTTAAGAAAATAGTCACTATTTGCAATTATTGATTCCGCGCTTTCTCCCTGATATTCACATCCCTTTAATAAATTCGCGATATATGATTCGCAAAATAGTTTTCGCGATTTGTGTTTCTTCTTTGCTATAAAAATGTCCGCTATTATTATTCACGATAAAAGTTCGCTGTTATATATTCGCTCTAAAGGGTCTTGGTAACGGGTTTGCTTTGAAAAATTATCGATATGGTCTTCGCTGAATAGCATTTGCAAATATGGATTCGTGACAAAAGTTTCTTTATAAAATCAATTCGCTTTAATAAACTTTTGCGAAAATATGTTTTATGATAAAAGTCGTTGTCTTAATGGTTTGTTAAATTTAAAACTATTGAAGTTTGAAAAAAATCTTGAGAAATTTTTTGAGCAAAAAAATTTTTTTTTTTTAAAAAAAGTGATATTTTTATGCATATGCAAAATATTTAATTATTTATAATATAACTTTTATAAAATATATTTGGAATTTTTAGGTAAAATTTGATAATCAAAGGATCATAAAATACAAAAACGATGTTTATATATTTACTTATTTTCTTAAAATTAAAAATAATATTTATAACAATTATCATTTTTTAACTTTCATTTTCACTGAAATCATAATATAACATTTATATTTATAATATTTATTCGTACTAATTTGCTAAATTTGAAAAAAAATAATAGTACATCTTCTTTGAAGATAATTTTTGAGAAAGTCAAAAAAAATACATATTATAAAATAATTAACCTTTTATTTCGCTAAGCCTTTTTTAAAAAATTAGTTTTATATTTTATCTATAGTTTTACTTTCCATGAATTTTACTAAATAACGTATAATAATCACAATTTGTATATTAAATATCGGCCCCGATTTGGGCTCTTAAAAAATATTAGATCGCCCGATAATTTTTTAAAATTTAACCGACCTATATATTTTTATTTTTATACACATTTTTTTTTATTTTTGATATTCATTTTCTCGAAATAAATCTTCATAACTCCCATAAAAAGTCTCTTATAAAATAAAAATGTTAAATGTTTTATACATTTTTTAACGATAAAAGTAGTTAAAGTATATTAATAAACTAATATTAAAAAAATTGCCCAAAATTTTATGTATATTTATTTTTCATATATTCCATTGTTTTTATTAAGAAAGAACTTATTATATTAAAATTTAAATTTGATTAATTACGTGATATGTGATTTCAGTGTTAAGCCCTCTAGTGTTGACAAGCAGAGCTATGCTAAGTTTTCCTCATAATCCATTAAACTGGATATTTAATTTATGGGGAAGAAAAAATAGGGAGCCCTCCAAACGGGCTAGTCACATTTGTACGCGTATATTCCTAGGACAATTACTTAAGCTTTTGTTGGCTGATTAAAAAAGAGACTGGGCAAAAGAACACAGCCCACACCTAAAAATTGAATAAAATTTTTAAAATTATTTTAAGACGAAGGGTGGTGGCGAGTTGAATTTAATTTTAAATCACTATAAGACTATGTTAATGAGTAAATATTGTTGGACTGATATACTAATCCAGCCACGCGACGATAACTGGGGATTTCATAGTTGATTCGGAGAGTATTAAGGTGGTGTAGAACAAATACCTTGGTGTCATACTCGACAATAAAGGTTGATTCAAAGAAGAGTTGAATATTAGAATACAATGCTAGAACGCTTTCTATAAATTCTTTAAATTACGAAAAACGAGAGAGTCTACGGTTTTCACAAGGCTAAAAAATTTTAATTACAGTTATCCCCATTCTATTATACGGAGGAAAGACATGGGAGATTAACAAGACAGAAAACAGGAAAATGCATACCTTCATAATCAAATGTCTGAGAATCATAAATGGGGTTTAACCCAAGAGTTATATCAGACGCTCTAGAAGGTATCCAGACATACCCCGGTATGTTTTACCCTCAAGAAGAGAAGAATTCACTTTCTCCCCCATATTATCAGAAATTCCAATAGTAATCTTGTATATGACGCGCTGACGTGTGTGTAAATATTGTTGGGCTGGAATACTGACATGTATCATTTGAGGTAGCTTAATCTGACCTTGAGCAGCTTCTTTATTGATTTCTTGTTTTTGTTCAATCGAATGAATTGTTTCATGTTAATGTTTATGTGTGATGTCCTTCATCACTCGATGGAACCACAGCGTTTTGTACTTGCTGTATGTTTTCCCATTAAAAGAATAGGCTATATGGTAAGATTGTCGTTTTATCGAAATTAATAACCAGTCCTATCTTGCGGCTGCATGTTGAGGGTATAAATAAATTGTGCGTATCCTCCTGATTCTTAGTCAAAATAACAATATCATCCGCATACAATCATTTTGTTGGGTGTTGTTGGAACTAAGTTTCAGAAAGTTCGTCGTCGCTAGTGTATCATTCATTACCTTGTTTATCGTAATGTTGAAGAGGATAGGTGAGGGAACTTAAGCCTGTTTGACCACTTTTTTAATTCTGAAATAGGGTGATACCTTGTTATTTAGTTCAAACGAAGCAAATAGATTGCCGTAGTTATGTGTAATGTCCTCTAATAAAATGCCCCATAAGGCATATAATGGTTTATGCCATCGAATGCTCTCCTAAAGTCTATGAAGGTGAAAAAAACGTATTTGTCATTTTGTATTATTATTTTGAGAGCCAAGATTGGTACCAAAATGTTTTTTCCTAGGCGATATGCACAAATATATTTCGAAAAATGACTTTACCTCATTGAAATAAATATTGGATCGGTCAAAAATTGTGGATTGGTGCAGCCCTAATCACAATAATTTGTAATTAAAATTTATGTAAATTGAGTTTTTTTTTATTGAAAATGAACTAGAATTGATTCACATATTCAAATAATTTTTTCTAGTAAACTGGTATAAATTTGATAATTTTAGCTAGATTTTTTTTTAAAAATGACTAGTACCGAATGTAATAAATATAAATTATTTTAATTAACCATTACAGTAGTTTGATAAAATTGAGTTAGTCTAAAAGATTTGAATTAAAAATTAAACTAGTTTATTATTTACATTTAAAATTTTACATACATTAGTTATTTTTAATATAATAATACCAAATTTATATGAACAGACAATGCAAATATAAATATTGGTTCTACACTTTTGACAACGGACCTGAACATATTAGGTATCATACAATTATTTAACATAGTTTATTTTGTTTATTTAGAGAGTATCCCAGTAGCCAAAAGTCTACTACAGTCTAAACCATATGTGTCTATTCTCCCTAATATACAACATACTCGAGCTGAACCAGTTACATCTAACGTAATTTACAACAATGGGTCTGGTGTGATGACGAATAATATAGATAATCCTCATGCTATTATAAGTAACATAGGGTTAGAACTAAATGGACGCTACTATGTTATAAAAACCAATCCTATTAACAGCCAAACGCCCATATTTTTGAGCCCTATAACTTCAACAAACGCTGATTCCAACATAATTAAAAATTCTAGCACCGTTATATTAAGTAACAATGTAAATACTGAGGCCTTTAGATCAAACTTCTCTTTGAACCAATCCTTTGACAAAGAACCCATATTTTATAATTCTCAAGGTTCAAATTACATTAAACTTATCACGAATAGCTCGAATATTTTAACTTCCAATGCAACTCATTTGATGATGCCTCATGAAAATAGTATGTCAAATCTAACTTCTCAATCTTCAGTCTTGTTATCACCTACCGCATTAGCAAATATATCTACTCTAAAGTGAGAATTAATAAAATTTATAACTAATTTCAAATACTATTAATATATGAATAAGAATGTATCATTAAATACATATTTTATTTTATTAGCGATCCAACAAATGCTCTCAGAGGTAAGAAAAGATGCAATTGTACAAAATCACAATGTTTAAAACTGTAAGTTATTCTATTCTATTATAAATTTATATACTCATTAATAGTTTGTTATTTATTCATAATTTATTTTAAAAAATATTTTATCTATAGTTATTGTGAATGTTTTGCTAGCGGGGAGTTTTGCAGCAATTGTAATTGTAATAATTGTAATAACACTCTGGAAAATGAAGACGATCGAAAAAAAGCTATCAAATCTATTTTAGAGAGAAATCCTTTAGCATTTCATCCGAAAATAGGTTGATAATATTTGTTAAATTGCGTATTTTATTTTTAGACATAAAAAATGTTTTGAGATTTAAAATTCTGTTTATTATCTAAAAAAATTTTAATAAAATGCTAAATAGTGCTTTTACTTATTCCACTCATTCAGATTTCATATTAGATTAAAATTTTGTTCTGTTCAAAAAATTTATGTCTCGTTTTAACCACCTTTCTTAAATATTTTTGAATATCGGCACTATGTGACAAAATCGTCTCTTTTAAACAGGGATGCCAACCCTGCAAAATTTTTGCCCTGGTTCGGTTTAAGATAAAAAAAATAGGTGGGTTTGGTTCCGGGTTCAGTCGGATTTAAGAATTTTTTTAATGATAAAAAAAAATTCTATATTTAAATCATAATTAAAAAACTAGAAATAAATTTTTTTATTTTATTTATTTGCAAAATATAGTTAAAAATGCAAAACATAGTCATGTATCAATTTTAAAAATTTTATTTAGACGTATTAGCATAATATCTTCCAAGAGTTGTTCACTCATCATCGATCTATATGGTGAAAGAATAAATTTCAAATGTGAAAAAGATCTTTCAATGTGAAAATATGATAAATTAACTTGAATTGCAGAAACAGCAAATAAGATTCTGGATAAAATATATAATTCAGGGTGCTCCAACTTAGCAAACTCCCCAAAATGCAAAATATTTTTCTTCTTATCTAATCTTATAAAATCGCTAAATCCGATAATTATAGTTCCAATACTTTTCTCTGCAATCGTTGGCCCTCTTTTGAGTATTTTCTTCTGCCTTTCTTTAAGTTGTATCAATTTCTCTAGATCATCTCTTGTTCAATAACTCATCGGAACTAATATCATCAGATACAGCGTTGTTATACTTTTAATCAGATTCCCACTCCATAAATTGACAAGATGCTGTTTCGCACAAATCTTATCATCACCAAGTAATATTTAAGGATTTATACTGTTTATATTTAAACTAGTTAATAATCCGTCAAGAATGACGGGAATGAGGGTTAATTAGTTTGTGTATATGGTACTAAATATACTTTATTAATATATTTTATAAAAATATTAAAATTTAGTCGAAAAAGAAGTAAATTTGTGAATCACACCTCATAAGATATTCCAAATTTCTGATTCATTTATCATCAAATGAAAAAAGTATGATGACCCGTCTTTCTTGAAGGGCAAAATGCAAAATATATAATTAAGAGTACCAGAGCTCCCCTTTATCAACATTGCTGAGTCCGTCAAAAATGACGGGGAATGAGAATTTTCTCCTTACTCTTATGATAGTAGTTACCTGTTATTTGAAAATAATATCCAATTTTTATTCTTTATAACCCCCTCCCACTTTCAGCAGGTCAATCCATTAAAATTAAGTTTAAATGCTGTTTTGAGTCAATATATTTAAAGCTTTTACTTGATACCCATATCAATATTATTTGTTAAAATATTACTGTTCATCTATGAATATTTAAAAATTCCCAAGCAAGGTCCAAGTCCTTAATAATTTTGAGAAAATTTTCCCAACCCCAACCAAAGATCATAATAATTTTGGTAGTTGAGAACTGGAATAAAATATTTTAAAAAATCATATAGAATTTAAAAATACAATCAAAATCAGATTTTATGGGCCTTGGTTTATTTGTATTAGGTCAATATCTGATCCATAGTTAATAAAGAAAGAGTTCCCAAGCGTCCAAGCTGATAATAATTTGAAAATTCCCCAAGCATAGCCCAATATAATTTATAAAAATATTTTCCAAGCCCATCCCGACCCATTATAATTTAAAAAAATTTTTCTCAAACCTGGCCAACCGATAATAGTTTTGAAATTTTCTTCAGCTACCAATAAAAAAATATTTCCCAAGCCCAGCCCGACCCATTATAATTGAAAAACAATTTCTCAAACCTGACCAACCGATAATAATTTGAAATTGTTTTTCCAAGCCTGGAGCTTTCAATAAAAAAAATATTGATATATTTAAATTACTTTATCATAATATAGTTTCATATATAAGAATTATATTGCAAAATTAAATATAGAAGTGGGTTGACTGGAAAGAACGTTTGCCTATCGAACGTTAAGTGGTTCGAATCTCGTTGATGTATAGAAAAAATTTTTTAAAAAAAAAATAATTTAACATTAAATTTATATAGTCTCCTTCGATTTATTTACATTAAGATGATAGGATTAAGATTATACGAAAACGTTCATTTCTTGATTACGGCGATTATATATATTTAGTGCTGTAAACATTTCTAAAAAAATCGAACGCGTTCAACGTTCATTGACAAAAATCGAACGCACCTTCAAGTTCACTTCCAAAAAAAAGGAACGCGTTCACTTTCATGGACCGTTCAAAATTATGATAAATATTTTTAAAAATTTTCTAATATAAATAAATGTCTTATATTTATTAACACAATATTAGCCATGTTAAAAAATAATATAGTTTTATTTTGATAATATAATTATAAAATTCAAAATAATATATCAAATAAAAAAAAAATTTTCTTATTAATTTTTAATAACATTATTTTTCAAAATTTTCATCTGATAGACAAGAACGCTTGGCAGTTAATACGGCATTAGCTATACCAAAAACACGCTCAAGGGTAGATGAGGTGATTGCGGTATTATACTTAATAAATAACTCTTTTAACGTGAGGAATTTATTAAAAACATTTATTGTTTTGTTATTTGCTTCAAAGAATTGAGATAAGTTATCCTCCAATCCATTTCCTCGACAAAAAAAGGATATCTCGAGCATTATCATTTCTAGGGTTTTCAAAGCATTTTTTTCAATAACACTATAAGTTTATTTTTAATAGGTTCGTTCTATGGAAGTTTTATCCATGGCCATTGAAGCTTGAACACTGGATGTATAATTGCAGAAAGAACATATTGATCTTCATATATATGTTCAAATCTTTAAAAAAATAAAATATATGTAATTAATTGAGAGTGATAGGCTTAATACCTTTTATTAGTCTCATTTTATACGGCGTCTATCAATGGTTGACCATATTTGAGGCCACTAATTTTTTTAATTTTAAAATAACTATCGTTATTGTTGGGGTCAAATATCCCAAATGCATTTTTACTTCAAATTTAATGATTTTATTTAGTTATATTATATTATTTAATATAAAATAATAAATATTACAATCAAATGCCGTTTTAAATTGGAACCTGAAGATTTTGACAATATAAAACTTTTTGGACACATTTACATAAGCATTGAATTAGTTCCTTCAATATATGTTACCGTAAAACATTTGTCATATTTGGCCATGGTAATGATAATTCATCTAATTTTGGATTTTCAGAATCAGATGATGAGGATTAAATAATAATATCCATGCTTATGCTAATCTCTTAACTTATAATATAAACAATAATATTCAAATTAATAAACTATGTGTTAAAAAAATTGAAATGTGAAAGGGAAATACGCAGCCGATTAAAAAATATAAATTTTTTAAAAAAATCGGAAATATTAAATTTTTCAAATAAATAATAATAAAAACTATTTTTAAAATTGAACGAACGTTAAATTCGAACGCGTTCGTCATAAAAAAGGAACGCGTTCACGTTCAAAGTTCGTCAAAAATAAAAGGACGCCGTTCATTATTTTTTCAAAAAAACGAATTTCGTTCACGAACGCGTTTGTTTACAACACTATATATCTAATATATATAAAATCTTAGTGTTGTTAAACGAGTCGGCTTAACTACGATTCAAGTCGAGTTTTTAGTCGATTAGTCGACTCATTTTTACGACTCGAGTTCCGAACTTGAGTTTTTATCTTAAGTCATGAACTTGAGTTTTGATCTTGAGTCATGAACTCGAGTTATGAACTTGAGTCGTGAACTAGTCATAAACTTGAGTCGTAAACTCAACAGGTTATCTTAAATTTTATGAAACTCGATTACTTATATTAGTATTGTTAATTGGTTGGTTGTGTAATACCCAGACCTGGCGCTTGGCTCTAAAATTAGACTAAATCTGCTTTGAGCACGAGGCACATGTATCTTAAGTTATTTCTTATTGAACTCAGTTAAATATATAGTTATTTATTACAGATAAATCGATAGATAATTAAAAGACCTATTGAATATGCAACAATTCAAGCGCCACTTTTTGAGTGAAGCTATTTCTACGTAAACGGAAATTTTAATAACATGAATAGAAAAAATAATTCCTAAAATTATATTTTGAAATAAAGAGGTTGCTCGTAGCATAAACTCCTTCCTACAAAAAATTTTTTTATTTATTTATTTTTTCATTGTAATTATAAAATTTAACTCATATGATTTATAAAGATTTAAATAAATAAAATAAAAATAATTTCAAAGCGGAGTTGAAAAAATAAAATAAATAAAACAATGAATTAGATGCAAAAAAAATTTAAAAAATCCCGCACTCCTTAATTAGGTGCCAGATAGGCGATTTGGTTTTTTATTTTATTATAAAATTAATTTCTTTTTTTCTATTTAAAATTTTTTGAAATATTAAATAATTTTTTATAAAAAAATGTATAATATTGCCTACAAATTTTTAAAGGAGATGGAAATGGAAGTTAAATTTAAGGGAAATGTTACTAGAAACCTCTTTATTTCCAAACAGGATTAATTTTAGGAATTGATTTTTTCCATTCATGTTATCAAAATTTCCGTTAAAAAGAATTTAAAAATCTTAAAACTTAATTTGGTAATCTAGCAGATATTTTTCTCTTAACCTTTTGATTACGCATCGATTCCTACAAGCCAATAAAATCCGTCCAGTGGTACACCTGGTATATATCTGCGTTGTTTTTGACATTTTATACAGCTGTTAACTAGTTTTTCTTCATCTTTATCTAATTGTTCCCGCCATATATAATGTCCATGCAATATATGTAAAACTCTTTTTTGAAGTGAGTACGGAATGATTAGTCTGCCATTCCAAAACAACACCATCATCATTTTCTATTTTATCTATTCTTGTTCTAAA